TATGTTAGATTCGGTCCCACTTGAGCTAAAGCTGGAGATACTGATTAGATTGCCTGCCAAGTCTCTTGCCAAGTTCCGATGCGTGTCCAAAATGTGGTCTTCCATCACTCGAAGCCCTGAATTCGTCCGTTCTTTCTTCTCTATCTCCTCATCAAGGCCTCGTTTTGTAGTTGCTTTGAGTAACGGACTCTGCAACTCGAATAAGGAGCGCCTTGTCTTCCTCTTCTCCTACGAAGAAGACGAGTACTCTTCTTCTTTGGTACCAAATTTCGACATGGCATTACCTTGCGTGGGCTTTAGTAGTCTCGTAGGGTATTGTACTTCTCTCCATGGCTTTCTCGCTGTTGAAGCTTCAGGTGGGTTAATGATATGTAACCCTTCCACGGAGCAAATCGTTACGTTACCCGAACGCGCTAGATATGTGGGATACGATCCGATTGATAATCAACACAAAGCATTTTCCATGTCCTTGAGTATTCGATTTGGACCAATTGATACTCGAGCGCACCAGGTGTTAACAATTGGACAAGATGGAGGATGGAGACATATTGAACCTCCCTCTACCATGCCTTCTTATACTCCCGTATCAGTGGCAGTAAGCATCGACGGTTTTGTCTACTATGGTGCACATAGCCCAAAACGACCTATGAATCCAGGTATTGTGTGTTTTCATGTTAGATCCGAGAAGCTAAGTTATATCAAAGCACCTCCGGATATCCTGCGTGATGGGAATGAATCAACATTTATAGAATACAAAGGGAAGCTAGCTTCTGTTGTGCCAGACAAAACATTAGCGGTTCCTCGTTTTCATCGTTTTGATTTATGGATACTAGAAGATGTTGAGAAACATGAATGGTCGAAGAAAACATGTGAGATTCCTCTTTCTGTGTGGGATGTTGTAGGTGGTTTCAAAATGTCTTTTCCAGGCACCAACAAGGCTGGTGAGCTCATTATGGCCCCAACTATACTCTCACGCAATGTTCAATCCTTTTACATCTTTTACTACAATGTTGAAACAAGAAACACCAGAACAGTTAGTCTCCATGGAATTGGAGACAATCAAGAGTTTAGGCGCTCCTATGGATTTGTAGACAGTGGTGAATGTCATGTACATATCTCACCTCAACACATCGAGAGCATTGCTTTCTTTAAGAATCCTACAACTTAACTTCATTTCAAGTATTTGACTATTTTTTAATTTTATTTCCAATACATCATTTCAAGGACCCCAATGTTGTATACTCTGTTTTTTTTTTTAATATATTTTTCAGTATTTAATGTTGATCTTTCATTTGCTGAGAGGTATGTGATTATTTTTGTCCATTTTTAAGTGTGCTTTTTGCTCTGTTTTACCAAATAATACAAGACAGAATCTAAGATTATCATTTTTATATTTGCTGCGTTATCAATCAAGGGAATGGTATTTTTTGTTGCATCAAGAACAAAAGATAACAAGCGAAGGGCTCGAGTGAGCCTAATTCAGAGGCTATATGCTCGAACATCGTGCCGTTTTGCCTTCATTTAAACATAACACCAAAACGGTAGATCGTGTCTCCAACTGCACCAAAGGGTTTGGCAAATCATACAGGGAAATGAGTTTAGTTCCTCGGTCTCTAGTCTCTAATCTTTCTTTGTCTAGTCAAGGGGGTGAGAGCAAAGCATGTCGTAGACTGAACCCAGAATCATCAGTGTGCTTGACCTTAACTTTTCTTATCTTCTTTCTCATGACAAGCGGCCATATCAGAAGGGCACGAGCCACGCGACTGAGCGGGTCTTGAAGACCATCCATTTGGTAGTGACCAAACCGCCAGTCACAGTCAACAAACGGTCTCCACTGAGGCTTGTTGAGACCAACAATAAAAAAAATTAAACAATCAAAAACCTCCAAAGGTAAGATTATAAAGTCAAAAATTGGAAAAGGTGAAAAACTTAAGGTTGAAGATGTAACCAACCTGCGTACATTAGACCATTTTTATCAACAGCTCGGTAGAATGGCCGTAGTTTTCCTTGTTAGGCAGCTTTTTGGAGTTCGTTCCAAGCAAGAGGCCGATATTTGGGAGTGATTTTGCCGCTTTTCACTATCTGGAGAGTAGGAAAGCCAATTGAGAAGAAAAACGATCTGATTTAGTGGTAACCACAAAGGTTTATAATGATCAACCTTGGAAAAGAGATGGTACGATGGCCGAAGGGTTCGGGCAAGATTATTGGCTCGGTCAACTGCAACAAGCCCAAATTTTGGACCATATCCATCTGCCCATTCCCAGTTGTCAGAAATAGTCCAGAACATGTAACCGAGCACCGGAACACCCTGTCATGAAAGCCACAAACACAGTGAGAGATATGTCAATACCTAAGGTTGTAATGGTGGACCCAAAGCCCGCCCGTCACGTGCTGGATGAGCCAGGTACCCGCCATTTTTCCAGGCTGGACCGCGGGCCAAAATCATGGCCAGGTTTGAAGCTTAGATCAAGGTCATTACAGGCCAGGCTCGAAACAAGCGGGGTCAGCCCAACACAACAACGCTACCAAGTACCAATAGTTAAGCAGGAATAACGTTTGGATGATTTAGAGAGTTTCAAGGACAAAAACCTTTAGCATTGCAGCACAAATGGCAAGGAGATGCTCGATCAGGTAAGGTCGTCGAATCACATCTGTTTCATCAGACACCCATTTTCTGTGATGATGAAAGGAATTTTCAGATGTTTGTATCTCTCGTGGAACATCAACAACACGCGGTAGAGACCATCCGGATATACCCCTCTTCCAGATTCACTGTATTCATCAGTCTCTACAAGCTTTAGTCCAACACCAGACACTGCTTCCTGAAATGTTATCAACATATGGATATATAGCGAGGGAATTGGTAATAGTAACAGCTCCAATATCAAAGAGACCATATGGCCGTGTAAAGGAGACGTGGTGCGCAACCCCTACCAAAGGTTTTCTCAAGCAACTGCCAAATAAGAGTTGGAAACAATTAAGATATGCTAGTTAGAGAACGCCATATAATAATTGAAAAAGAAAAACGAACATTTTCCCGTGGATGTAGTCATAGGCCTTTGAGTGAGCAACAGCCATCCAGTGTAAGGCTCGATGAAATACACCCATAGGTAGAGTAGATGTAGCTATCTCTAGAAAATCAGGATTGTTACTGGGCCAAGATCCACACATGTAGGTAAGCATGGTGAAGACATCGGGTTCATTAAATGTTACCCAAGAGTCTACCAATTCGAACATGGAATCAACAACAAGCCTGGCAAAGTAGCAAGTTATAGAAATATAATTTAGACCTGTAAAACCATAATCTTTATAAAGCTCATTTGAAGAGACACTCACCTGGTAAACTCCATAAGTAGTCGACTGGCTTCTCAATTTTCCAGCCACCATAAGCAGCAGCCCAAGGTGGCAATGAATGATGAAGTAGAGTTAGCATCACTTTCATTCCATTTGACCGAACTCTACCGAGTATCCATTTATAGTGTTCGAGGGCCTCAAAGTTAACCTACAAAGCACAATAATAGAAAAACAGGCATAACAAAAAACAAAATGCACTGAGACACTCTTTGATGTATTACAATAGGTAAGGACGCCTTCTATTCAAGAAGCATATTCAGACACAAGGTTTATGACTCACTGCGTCCTTAATCCCTTTGGTAGGCTCTTCTGGCATGACCCTAGACCAACCAATTCCCATCCTAAAGACAGTAACGCCAGTATCTTTTGTTAGCTTCACTTCAGTATCAGGATCTGACCAAAATTTAAGGCTTTCCTCCCTGCAAAAATTTGAGAAAATCTCATTTTGAGCTGTTAAAGACTAATGTCTGTCTTGGTGCACTTGAAGATAAAAAGCATATAGGAAGCTCACGCATGAGGAGTATTATGCCACGCAGCTACATTTTTAGTGGGTGGCTTATCGGCTGCAGCCTTGTCTTCTTTTCCATGTGTGTTCTTCTCCTAGCCTTTTGTTATAGCTCCCACAGCAAGCTTAACCTTCTTCTTCTTCTTTGTTATTTTACTGTCAGATTCTTCTCTATGTGGCCTATCTTCTTTTGCAAACTGAAGCCAAGCATCATTGAGTTCGTCCTCCGCATGAGCAGGTGCAGTAGCCAACCCAAAGAAGAATTTTCCCTCCCCATGTTCTGAAACAAACGTGTTTATAGCTTAAAAATCAAGGAAACAAATCTAAAAAACGTTATGGTAATTTTAATTCCGAAAGATTGCAGAAACTGGAAGAATTCGTTTCCAAAAGTTGCAGAAATGGAAAATCGTTTCCTAACTGCTCTTTACTCCTCTTCTCATTAAATAATATTTTTTTGCAGACAAAATATATACATAACTTTTTTTTTAATCTTATAGTCATTTTCTCATCAAACGTATTATGTAAACATATTACAATATAAATAAATTTGAATTAGTCTTGGTTTTTTAACCTCGGGACCTCATCAAATAAACTATATCTACATCTTGACGAAAATAGAATTACATGGGAAGAAATACACAATTTGTTCTTAGTGCAAAACAAACAAAACAATTAAACTAAATAAAGTGATTTTTTTTTAACATCTGATTTCTTATTAACTTTCAAAAGTGCATACAACGTCAGATAAGATGGAGAATAAAGTTTTTTTTTTTTTTGAACATCTGATTTCTTATTAACTTTATTTTACTAAATAAAGTTATTAGTTGGCACAAAAAATGAAGATATTTTTTGTATATAAAAATAATTAATTAGATGATTAAAATTTCAAAGATAATACTACAATTAAGAGTACTTTTATTCCCGGTTGCGCTCTTCTCAACTTGTCCCTCGCTTTCTCAACTTTTTCACTCCCAAATCATTATTAGGGTTTTTTATATTTCTCTCCTCAAAGATCTCTATATAAACCCAATCACTCTCATTCTCCGTGTCTCTGTGCTTTTGATCGACTAATTTTCCTTTTTCTCTTTCACTTCATCGGATTTTTTCTCACGAACGAGAGGAGCCATGTCGCTGAGACCTAACGCAAGGACGGAGGTTCGCCGGAACCGGTACAAAGTTGCGGTGGATGCGGAGGAGGGACGACGGAGGAGAGAGGACAATATGGTTGAGATTCGTAAAAACAAGCGTGAGGAGAATCTGATGAAGAAGAGGCGTGAAGGTATGCAAGCTTTTCCGGATTTCCCTCCATCTGCCACCGCTACTCATGCCGCCGATAAGAAGGTAAAATTATCTTGTACCCGTAGTCAGTTTCTAGGTTTTTGCTTAATTTAGTGAGGTTTTAGGGTTTCGTTTGTGCTCCGATTGGGGAGTTTTTATTCGGTAATTGTTTCCGTCGCCGATAAATTGTTATCGATGTCTGTTGATTGGCTTCGAATTCTGTGTAGTTGGAGAGTTTGCCGGATATGATCGCTGGGGTTTGGTCGAATGATCCTAATGTACAGCTCGAGTCCACTACTCAATTCAGGAAGCTTCTGTCTATAGGTAATTGATGTTCTTAAACCTCTTCGTCTCTCGTTTTGACGTTATTTTGAGTGTCCCGTTTGATTTTTGTGTCTCTCTGTGTGTTATATTCGCATAGAGAGAAGTCCTCCTATTGAGGAAGTGATTCGTGCTGGTGTTGTGCCTCGGTTTGTTGAGTTTCTTAAGAGGGAGGATCACCCTCAGCTTCAGGTAAGAGAAAAACCTGGCTCTTTCATTGTATTTAGTCTTACTGTGTAATCTTTTGTTTCTGATATTCTATGATCATCTCCAGTTTGAGGCGGCTTGGGCTCTAACAAACATTGCATCTGGAACATCGGATCACACAAAGGTTGTCATCGATCACGGTGCTGTTCCAATCTTTGTCCAGCTTCTTGTTTCCCCTAGCGATGATGTCCGTGAACAGGTATGGAACTTCTGATGATTATGGAATGTGAAATCATTTACTGTTGAGAGATTTTTTCATTCGATTTTTTTTTATAAAATCCTGATCTCAAGATTAAGCTCTTACCTGCTCTAACATACAGGCTGTATGGGCGTTGGGTAATGTTGCTGGTGATTCACCACAGTGCCGTGATCTTGTTCTTGGATGTGGGGCACTGGGGCCGCTGCTCAACCAGCTTAACGAGCATGCCAAGTTGTCCATGCTTAGAAATGCCACATGGACCTTGTCAAACTTCTGTCGTGGCAAGCCTCAGCCTCTCTTTGACCAGGTCTTCCGTTTTTCCCTCCAGCTTTTGTTTCTTCAATGTATTATATCCAGTACTTTTAACGTGAAGCATGATTAACAGGTGTCACCCGCTCTTGTGTCCCTTGAACGGCTTATTCACTCAAACGACGAAGAAGTTTTGACAGATGCTTGTTGGGCTCTCTCGTACCTCTCCGATGGGACCAACGACAAAATCCAGGCTGTCATCAATGCCGGTGTTGTCCCAAGGCTTGTTGAACTTCTCCTGTGAGTACCATTGTTTCATTCTTTTTATTTCATGTTCCCTTCACATGGGTGTAGATAAATAACTTAACACCCTGCTCTTGATTTTCCAGCCATCCTTCTCCGTCTGTGCTAATTCCTGCACTTCGCTCTGTGGGAAATATCGTTACTGGAGATGATCAACAAACCCAGGTATGAACTCCAAACGCTGTCTATTGAATTTCTCGTAATACCTCTGTTGTGCACATCGTATAAGATAATATACCTTTTGCGTTTGGGGAAGGATACCTTTGTTTATAAGCACACCAATGGGCTGTGGTGAACCCTTTGGCCTTTAGGTGTATGTCTGAAGACACGACTAGAACTTTTCATAATTGAACTAATGGCAGAAACATCTTGAAGTTAGTGATATGCTATCTAATCGAGGACTAGTATATGCGATGAAGCTTTTGCCAAATACATGCTTCCCCCTTGTTGCTATGTCATATTTAACCTTTCATCAAAACATGAGGATTGAATGCTTATCATTATACCCTCCCTCTGTGCCACTCTGTCCATATTAGTATAGGATGCAGTGCCATTTTCTGCTGTATGTGGGGTGTGTTTTATTTTTGTTGCAATGAATTCTTGTGTTAAGACTTAAGACCAACAACCAAGCATAACTGTAGTATTGTTGAAATTTGTTTTAGCGTAGTCTATAAAAGCTGACTTCTATATACTTAAAAATATCTTACATTGTTCCTATGAACTTCTTCTTCAGTGCGTGATCGAAAGTGGTGCTCTACCTTGTCTTGCCAATCTTCTCACTCAAAACTATAAGAAAAGCATAAAGAAGGAAGCGTGCTGGACAATTTCAAACATCACAGCAGGCAACAAAGAACAGATCCAGGTAGGCAGTTCCTTCTATTTCATCATGTGGTTTGCACTGTTGTACTTCCAGACTTCTCTAACCTATTCATTAATTGTTTGTTTGTTTTTCCGAATGTTGCAGAGAGTAGTTGAGGCTAATTTGATTGCCCCTTTGATCAGTCTGCTTCTAAATGCTGAATTTGACATTAAGAAAGAAGCTGCATGGGCAGTTTCAAATGCAACTTCAGGTGGTTCTCATGATCAACTCAAGTAAGTCACCGTCATTTTTGCCTTCCTCTAACTTCCAGTTCCTTGTCTCTTATATACACTATGGGTTTAAATATCGATGTTCTGTTCCTGTTGGTTATATAGATACCTGGTGGAGCAAGGATGCATAAAACCATTATGCGATCTCCTGGTGTGCCCAGATCCAAGAATCATAGTAGTCTGCCTTGAAGGATTGGAAAACATATTGAAGGTGGGAGAGTCGGAGAAGAACTTGGGTAACACAGGGGACATGAACTATTACGCTCAGCTGATTGATGATGCAGAAGGGCTAGAAAAGATTGAGAATCTTCAGAGCCATGACAACAATGACATCTATGAGAAGGCTGTTAAAATTCTGGAGACATACTGGCTTGAAGAGGATGATGACGAGACACAACAACCTCCAGGTGTTGATGGTTCTCAGGCCGGGTTCCAGTTTGGAGGGAACCAAACATCGGTTCCATCCGGGGGATTCAACTTCAGCTGAAGGTAAGAAGCATTGAACTTGTAACAAGCTTTTATTCATGACAAAACCTGCAAAATCTGACTGAAACACAAACCCACAGGAATGGGAATAGGAAGCTTGCAGCTTGATGTGGTGAAAGGTCAGAGTCAGTCAGCGTCTAGTTTCATTACCGGGGTTATAGCCGTGGTCTAGTTTGGGGGGGGGGGCTATACCGGGTGGTCGGTTTAAAAGTACAGAGTCGGAGAAAGTGTTTGGCTCCATTGTCCAGGGCTATTTTTTTGGAATGACTGGTGGTAGTACACACCGGTTGGGAGGTCGTGAGTCTACTTTTGTGTTGTTTTTAAATTTTGGAGGGTTATAAATTTTACTATACTGGAGTCTGGTTTTTGTGTTGACAACAAAGTTTGTATGTCGGGTAAAAAAACCACAAAACTCTTTTGTCTTGATTTGTGGAAACTAAAAGCTCTTTTTTGGTCTCTTTGTTTTCCAAAGGAAGGGTTTAACTTTCGAGTTAACCCCAAATAACTGCAACATTTTGAATGTGCGATATCTGATACGTGATCAATTCTCGAGCAAGGCATAGAGAGTACAGGCTCAAATGCTGCAGTTAAAAAGTTGATCATTATATCAAAATTTAAATTATGAATCAAGTCCGACTAAGCAAATAATTGTGGAAAGACAAGGACTATTGTCGAAATAAAAAAAGATATACGTCCAATTAAAACATATTGCCTTATCGTCGTCTAAAAACCCCTTGAGAGTGAAAAAAACTTTAAAAGCTAAAACTGAAATCACTTTCCACATTCGATTCCCAGAAAATGGCTCTTGTTCAATCCAGAACACTTCCCCACCTCAACGTCCCGTTATCGCCGATTCTATCTTCCCTCCGTGCTCCGTCGTCTCTCTTTCTCCGGAGGGAAATCCGACCGGTAGCCTCGCCGCCCTCACCCTCCACCGCCGGCAGCTTACCGTTCTCGCCGTTAACGCGCCCGCGGAAGCTTCTATGTCCTCCGCCTCGGGGAAAGTTTGTCAGAGAAGACTATCTTGTGGTACGCCCAATTTCTCGGTCTTAGTCTCCATATTGTCTTTGTCAATTTCGCAGTTTTCATGTTTGTATTCGTTTTACGATTTTGTTGGAGGCATTTTTCCCCAGAAACTGAGCATAGTCGCATAGATGTATAGTTAATATAAGGATAATATGTATGCTGGTATAGCACTATCAAAGATTCGAACTATACACTGCTTAATGCTTCATAATTGAGATTGCATCATTTGTATCTTGTGGTTGGCTCTTGAGAACAGCAATTGGGAGCCTCACTGATCTCGCTACATGTTTTTCCTTTCTTTATGGTTTGACAGAGGAAATTGTCAGCTCAGGAGCTTCAAGAACTGGTGAAAGGAGATAGGAAGGTGCCGCTGATTGTCGATTTTTATGCGACTTGGTGTGGACCTTGTATCTTGATGGCCCAGGAACTCGAAATGGTATCATCGATTCTCATCTCTCACCTTTTTAACATATTCTTCATTTTATTTGCTTCATGTTTTAGCCTCTAGTATGCTTATATTATTTACAAACATTGGCCCTTGGAACCGGTTGTTTGTCATATTTAATTGACTCTTGATATGTGATGATTTATGAATTATGATAAGGTTTTCTTGTTAAGTCTAGTGCAGGACTATTGTAACTAGCTTAGTGGTTGACCACCAGTGAATTGTAACGGACTTGAAGGTTAATTGAGGGATCAATGTTTACAGGGCGCTATGAAAAAAATGCATTGGGGACATTCTGGATTTGTCTAAGGTCTTGGTTTGGTAGAGGTCGAGAGTTTAGAGACTCCTCTCCTTAATCAAGTCTCTTCTATGGTTTAGTTATTTGGTAAATTGAATAATAAAGGAGCTTTACTGGTTGCAATGTTATCGGTGTTTCACATTCCTTATGGTGAAGTGATCTTGTATCAAAAATTGTGATATTGAAGAATCTCAGCATCTACTTCTTTGATTGACTCTATCTAATCTATACAGCTTTGACTCTGTAAATTTCGCTGGACTAGTGTTATATAGTTTTGCTCTTTGTGAAACAGCTTGCAGTAGAGTATGAGCAAAATGCAATGATTGTGAAAGTTGATACAGATGATGAGTACGAGTTTGCACGCGACATGCAGGTAAACTGTTAACTTTCAGCTTCTCTTTTCACCAGTCTCCATTTAACATATCAATGTAATTTATTACAATAACCAAATCTTGTAACGCAGGTTCGAGGCTTACCCACATTGTTCTTCATCAGCCCTGACCCAAACAAAGATGCAATCAGAACAGAAGGACTAATTCCAATACAGATGATGCGCGATATCATTGACAAGGATATGTGACATCTTTTACTGAGGAAACACTTTCTTGCTTTAGGATTGAAATAGAATCGCCGTAATTTAGGATTGGTACCGAGTTATTTGGATTTTGAAGAATGTCATCTACGGTTTCGTAGAAGAAGAGTGAGTGTAAAAGAGGAAAATGTAAACTATGAATTTTATATGTATGCATATGCAATGCAGTGTTAGTTTCAGTACTTGATTTTGGTGACAGGTCCTACTTCTTAAGCTTGATGAAGTTTCTGGTGGTTGAGTCGTTGATTTGGTCGGATCGAAGTTATGTGGCACATGTAAATCATGGTTCTGTCCGGTTAAACCAAAGTTATGCGGTTTTGTTTTCTTTATTAATTAATATCATCATAACCCGAAAGTGAAGTTGTTAAATAAACACCATTATTGAAAAGCACCGCGTAATTTGGAAATGGCGCTCTTTCTGCTCACCCAAATTATTAAAAACAAAAATTCCCCCTCAGGTTTTGCGGTTTATTGGCGGGTGGATACAGGGGTAATTCCGTCATTTGATATGCCAAATCAATGCTAGGGTTTAGCTTAGCCACTGGGACCAATTCGATTTATATTTGGTTTAGATCTGATTCGTGTGGTATCTGGTCGGGTCGCTTCTTT